CACGGAGCCGGCCCTACTGATCATTAAATAAATCCCAAACACCGCAGCCTGGTATTCAAGGTTCTCCACAATTATTCCTTTCCAGCTTCATCACCCACCATCTAAACTGGAGGAAATGTTCTGCACTTTTCAGCTGCCACAATTTTGGCTTGAACCATTTCCTTTGTCTAGAGTCCCACCCCCAGCCCCTTGGCTAACGTAAGCCCAATCTTTCCTTCAAAGCTCCGCTGACTCGGCATTTCCAGATAGTTTCTAGTTCAGGGTGACTCCTCTTCTCTGAACTCCTGCAGTGCCGGCAATGCATACACCAATAATCTGACATTTAGCATGTGCTCCCTTCTGTTGCTTTCTATCCTTTTATGCATGAAAATGTCTTTCCGATGAGAATTAAATGTTTTGAGGGCAGGGACTTGGCCATATTTCTCCATATCTCCAGGGCTGGTGGTCTTTTAAATAGAGTAGAATGAAATTTTAGATCTGGAAGTTTACCTAGCCCCACTCACTCCTTTCACAGATGAAGAAACCGAGATCCAGAGTGGTTCAGGCCCACTTAGTATAAAGCCATGGCCACAGCCCAATATTTGTGACACTTATGGATTACGAATCAGAGGATCGGCTCCTAGAGAGTGGCAGGATTCTGGGGCAATGCGTGCATCCTCTGAACGCAGGAGGGAACGCAGAGAGTTTTGGCAAGTTTGGGGACAGGCGGGGACCACGTAGTGGCTACTGGAGGCAGGCTGTAGGCCCACAGGCTCCCCGAACGGCGGGACGTTGCTCCAGGACGTTGACTGCCCAGCCTCCACACTCTCCTCTTCCCCCGCTGGCTCGCCCGCTCCTTGGGGTCGGGCCAGAGGAGGACCCACTGCCCGCTGGAGAGGACGAGCCCGGCGCGCCCCTGACAGGAATGCGCGGACTAAGCACCGCTCGGGCCCTGGCCCCGCTCCCTGGAAAGAGGAGCAGGGGCTTTCCGCCGGCCCGGGCCTCACCCGGACGGGGCTCTCGGGTTCCCGCGCCCGCGCCCCGGCCC